AGAAGGCAATAAAGACGTAAGAGAAAGATGACCTTTTTTATTTAAAAAAGAAATAACAGAATGATTCACATGACCCAGACGAGCATGCCATAAATCATATGAAGCACGTAAAGATTTATTTTTAAGGGCTGAAATAAAAGCAGAGTTGCCGCGCTCCAGCACATATAGCCCTCCATCTCTTTTACCGGTTGCCACCACCCTTCCTGTTTGATGATTCTGGATAGTAATAAGATTATTAGTAAATGTAACGGAGAGAGGAAAATCAGACGTTAATTTACTTATGGAAAGAAGATTTTTAGTGAGGTGAGGGACAACCAAGACATCTAATAAGTGAATATTTGGAACAGGAGAAAGAGTACCGATGTGGGTAATGGGTAGGGATGCACCGTTTCCTACAATCACAGAGTCCTTACCCGTGTAATTTTTAGACTGATCCAGAATTGATGGGTCGGCAGTCATATGGGCCGAAGCTCCAGTGTCCAAAAACCAATCAGCAGCATCGGGTCCAGCAATAGAACATGACGTGTTAAAGGCTTCAGCAAGGTGAGCATGAGAAGAATCAGGTCGAACATACCGTTGGTTGCAGCGGTCAGCATAATGGCCCTCTTTGCGGCATATTTGGCAATGAGGTGGTCGACGACCCTGACTTGAGTGGGTTCGTCCTCGATTAGAAGAGTTGTTTTTGTGAGAATAAGAACGACCTCGCTGGTTGGTAAAGGAAGCAGGGTGACTTTCATGGGTGCGGCCACGATTAGTGGCTATGAATGCTGTAGGAGTGGAGTCAGAGGACTCAAGGGAGCGCTGGAACAACTCAAAACTTTCAGTTTTAGAGACTAGATCTGCAAAACAGGGGATAGGGGTGAGAGCCATCTGAGCAGTAGAAAAAGCTGAAAATTCGGTGCCGAGTCCACGAAGGAACCAATGCACTTTATCAATGTCCTCGACGGGTCTGCCAATGGCATGAAGTTGGTCACAAATTTTTTTGAAGGCACGGGCATACTCAGCAACAGGTTTTGTGCCACGTTTCATCAACTGCAAGTCATCCTTGAGTCTCAGTTCACGAGCTTTTGACTGATGGCTGTACGTAGTTTCCAACGCAAGCCAAACATCACGTGCAGTAGAGAGACCAACGACAACAGCCATGGCTTCCTCAGTGAGAGAGGAGAGCAGGAGACAGAGAAGTCGTTGATCGGCTGCTCTCCATGCCAAATATTTGGGGTTGAATGTTGAGGAGGTTTCTGGTTCAAAGCGAGGTGGTGGAACCATAGTTCCATCGACATAGCCCAGCATGTCTTGACTCTCAAGAAGAGGGAGAAGTTGGCTTTTCCAAAGAAGATAATTGGAGGAAGAAAGTTTGATGGTGATCATATGGATTAGAGTATTGAAAGGAAGAAGATGATAACAAGATTCGGAAGCCATAGAGAAGAAAGGATCAGGGTTGTTAAACCGAAAGGGCTCTGATACCATGTAAATGTTTGATTAATCCACCACACCCAAATGGTGGTGAGAGTTCTCTTATTTATAATCATTTACAGAATACAGAAATAAGGTAAATTACAAATAATAAGGAAATAGCGATAAAAGGAAAGAATAATAAATGAATACAATATATTTGCATTTAGTAAAAGAGAAAATATGGTAACCCGTAATGTAAGGCAAATATCTAGATATTTGCCTTAATGAACGGTCAACTATCCTTAACAATCATACTTGTTCAATATGTGTTGTCTAGTCACCATTTTTACTTGCATGACCGGTTACCAAATCATCATGTCTACAATCATCGTGACTAAAATGTCAAAATGTACTATAAAGGATATTATTAATTGTCGATTATTTTTACTCGGTTCATATGCTATCAAAATTGTGATGGCTGCTTATTAACTTTTAGCTTGCAATATTGATTTTTTTTTTTTTAAATTGTTTACGGTGCGAGCATGCGTTGTCAACAAGTCAAACTTTTATATTGTGATTTGTTCATTGGATTAGAACAAAGGTCACATCGTCATTCTACTATCACAAAAATACAATTGTGAAACTGAGCATTATAACAGGCTGTACGGTGTTATTTTTTATGGAAATTGGTTGAAGCTGGCTGCATAGAAACCATCTTAGTTTACAGGATCTCTTAACCCATCCCCAACTGCTGGTAATTTACATAATCAATTCCGTTTAGTCTAATACAACATAAGATCTCTTCTGGCAGTTCTTCAGATTTGTTCCCCTGTTTCACAACCCAACACGAAGTAAGAAAAACAGGACAGTTTTTAGATCTTACAATAAAAGAGATAAAAACGGTAAGAGTCCAAGTCCACCGCTACAAATATTGTTTATTTTGGACTCATAACATATCGCTGTCAACTTCACGATTTTTAAAATGTGTATGTTAGGGAGAGGTTTCCACTCCCTTATGAGAAATGCTTTGTTCTCCTCTCCAACTAATGTGGAATCTCACAATGTAGATATTTCCGCTTTGGTTCGTTACGTATTGTCGTCAGCCTTACGGTTTTTAAAACGCGTCTGCTAGTGAAAGGTTTCCATACCCTTATGAGGAATGTTTCGTTCCCCTCTCCAACTAATGTGGGATCTCACAATCCACCTCCCCCCCCACCCCTCTTGAGGTCCAGCGTCTTTACTGGCACACCACTCGGTGTCTGATTCTGATATCATTTGTAACGGTCCAAGCTCACTGATAGTAGATATTATCCGTTTTAATCCATTACGTATTGCTGTCAACCTCAAAGTTTTAAAACGCATCTGCTAGAGAGAGGTTTCCAAACTCATATAAGGAATGTTTTGTTCCTCTCTCCCATTGATGTGCGATCTAACGAAAACATTGTTACAAGAAACTTGCCTGAATTGTGAGGCCAACATCCAAAATGCAGCACTTGAGTCTATCAAGAAACGCTTCAAAACCTTTCCTTGATATGTAACTAAATCTGTGCATATCCAAGTCGATTTCCAAGTAGTTTTCTCCCTGTAATTCATCACTTCCTTCATATGAGTCATTCCAAATCTGTCTGTAAAGCAATAAAAACCAGAACCTACCGAGTAAAATTCATGTTGGGGACGCGAGAGGACGGGCTTTTCATTGTAAGCCTGCATAAGCTTCCGCTGTGCAGTGCTCATTGAAAGATCCTCCACGTTTGCAACTCGCCCCAAAATTTTCAATCTTTCCCTAAAGGGTACTACAGTGTCTACTGGAAAACCCTTCACCTTTTCAACTTCATCATCAATCATCTTCTGTTTTTAGAGTTTTACATTTCATGAAACAAGTTATTGAAGATAAAGAAGGATTGAATGGGAATCTGCAAGTACCGAGTCTTACCCTGATATTTTCTTGAAAATGAGATGAAAGTTCCTTGGCATATGCATCAGAAAGCTTAAAGTACAAGACGATACTCATCCCTTCTCCATCGGTATCTCCATGAAAAATTGCTGCAGGATACAATGGAATCTGAAGAATCCAGTATTACAAGATCAAAGCTACAAGAATACAAGAATCCAAGGCAATATAAGAAAGAAAAGTACTCAAATACGTTCAAATATCTATAATAATAAAGGGAGCTAAGGTGGGGCTGTCAAACACCAAGCAGTTATAGCGAACCATGTATCAGGCCAAGCCCACCGCTAACAGATATTATCCTCTTTAAGCTTTTCCTGTCGGAGTTCTCCTCTTTTTAAAACGTGTCTAATTGGGAGAGGTTTTGTAACAGTACAAATATTGTCTTTTTTAGGTTTCCCTTTCGGGCTTCCCCTTAAAGTTTTTAAAACGTGTCTGCTGGGGAAAGGTTTTCACAACCTTATAAAGGGTATTTCGTTCTCCTCTTCAACCAACGTGGGATATCACAAGTTTCCACATCCTTATAAGGAATGCTTCGTTCTCCTCTCGAACCAACGTGAAATCTCACAATCCACCCCCTTCGGGGCTCAGCGTCCTCGCTGACATACCGCTCGGTGTTTGAATCTGATACCGTTTGTAACAGTCCAAGCCCACCGCTAGTAAATATTGTCCTCTTTGAGCTTTCCCGTTTGGGGTTCCCTAAACCACATCCCTATAAGAATGGTTTGTTCAACCATGTACATTTATCACAGCACAGGCAAGGCATGGATTTACCTGAACATTCACGACAAGGATAGGTGGAAGTTTTCCAGAATAATTAGCCACAGGAAGTTCGACAAATCGAGCGATGTGATCCACTTTCCGATGGGACAAGAACACATCAACTCCAAATGGACAGTAAGCAGCATGACTGGGAGCAAACTCTTTCTTCTTGTCCCTGCAAATTTGTAGGATTATTTTGCAGTGTTAGAATGAAAGAATCAGATCATTGCTTTTGGTTTTGCGAGATTGAGCCAGGATCATTGATGCAATGATGAAATCATAGAAAGACTTTGTTACTTACTTTGCATAGTTTACTCCCCGAACTTTAAAACTATCTGGCTCAATATGTGACCAACAATCTAGCATTTTCTTTTCAGCTGGGCAAAAGGGTACTTGAGAACCTGCTATAGGTCTTCGTAGAAGCGCTTTCGACGAAACTGAAAGAAACAGAAGAAAACAAAGACTAAATCACTCCAAATTTGAAGAAATCTAAAAGATTATATGAGATCCCACCTCGATTGAAGAAGGGAACGAAACATTCCTTGTAAGGTTGTGGAAACTTCTCCTTAGTAGACGCGTTTTAAAACTTTGAGGGGAAGTCTAAAAGGGAATGCCCAAAAAAGACAATCTCTGCTAACGGTGGACTTCGATTGTTACAACTTGTATTAGAGTCAGAAACCGGACGGTGTGATAGCAAGGATGTTGGACTCCAAGGGGGTGAATTTTGAGATCTCACATCGGTTGGAGAGGGAAAAAACATTTCTTTTAAGGGTATGGAAACTTCTCCTTAGCATACACGTTTTAAAACCTTAAGGGGAAATCCAAAAGGGAATGCCTAAAGAAGACAATATCTATTAGCAGTGAGCTTGGGTTGTTACCGTTCACGCACCAACGCACCATGGGAACGGAAAGAAGGAAGGATGCAGTTATCAAAAACAAGACCAGTAAGGCAGAATATAAAACATATACTTCGTGAACACTCACATAAAGCAGCATTGGGGTTTCCTTCTTTCCACTTGAACGACAGTTTCAAGGCTGCCTTTTTCAGTCCACTTGGAGGACTAGAACTTGGTGATTTTCTCTTTTCAACAGAGTTCATTGTTGATGCAAGACAAGGCAAGCAGTTGCTTGGTAAAATCCCACAATTATCCAATATTCCAACGTCTTTGGCAGAGCTTTCACCAGCAGTGGAGGAGATCTCGTCGACGAATACCGGTTCGTTCGCCTTGCTCGAGCGTCCATAACCCTTAAGTTGGGGTTCTGCATCATCTGGATTCATGGCCTGAGAATGTGAATCCCTTGCAACTTGACTCACAGAATGTACTCTTCCTGAATTTCCTGGTCTATGAATCTGATCGATGGTCGCGCTATGTCGATTCACATTAAGATCTCCATGATTAGCATCTCCAGAAGACGAAACGCTTGACGTTGATGTACCTTCAAAGCTATTAATTGACTGTATGTCTGCAGGAACTCAGAAGGTTCGCAATGGAAGAATAAGAAAACTTCCCATCAGAACAACATATTCAAAGGAAAACTTACCATCAGGAACACTTTGGTAGTCTTCGTCACAATCCGATTCAAATTTTGCAACTGTATCAAACCAGGCCTCATCAGAACTTCCAGCTGAAACACCACAAATGATACAGATTCAGATAAAGAAAAAAAAAATCCAGGAAATGAATTATATGATGCTTGAAGTTATAACAGCATTTGAAGACAAGCTCATTATTCCATCGTTTCAAAATGTATATGATATCATGACAGACAAAATCCTCAGCATATGATTCAAAAAACATATCTCAGCATATGATTCATAAAACATATCTCAGCATATGATTCATTAAATTAGCTCATTTCCTGAACCTGGATCAGATAGAAATTGGTTGGAATCGCCAATGAGCTAACATTTCTGGAATTAAAAGGAAAACCCCATAAAAAACAAGTAATAAATCTCAACCAAACAACCAAAAAGGGAAAAATCAAACTTCCCCTGGAGAAATAAAACATGTAAGGAGAAAGAAAAAGGAAAGAACCTTGAAAAGTGGGATTGGAAAAGGAGCGGTGGTCAATCGGATTGGAGCGGCGCGATCCATCGGAGAGGGTAGAAATTGCCGTCGTTTTGGAAGCTTTCCTCCTTCTCCGGCGGTTCTTCCTCCTGGAAGACTTCTTAAATTTGGCTCTGACACAGCCCTCCGGCGTGGAAACGCAGGCACCCATGTCGGCGAAGCAATAACACAAGTCCCCTGAGTTTTTTTCTTTTATTTAATATTATTATGGCTTTTGGCAACGAAAATTTGGATCATTCTTTGGATGAGTGCGTATGAGGAACGTGAATTAGGAAATTGGGGAGCACTAGCATTGGCGACGGAAAGACGACAGCCTAAGAAGCCATTTGAAGGAGGAGACCAATCGAGGGAAGGTTTCCGGAAATAAATAGATAATGATATTAATAATAAAGGGACCCACGAGATTACACGTGGCATATATTGATTTGCATAAACCTATGGAACCCTAAACGCGGCTGCTACAGCTGACCACATACTATAATATCTTTCCTCTCTAGCTTTCTTCTATATTTTTACAAAAAAATTCAATTCTATGTATTATTTTAAGAGTTTAAACAACGAAAAAAAAAATCTAATAATAATTGTCTTAAAATGGGTCATTCTTGTCTTCTACTCTCGAGATTACTCGCTAACATACCACTTGGTATCTAATTCTGATATCATTTGTAACAACTCAAATTCACCACTGCTAACAGATATATCTGTTTTGACCCATCACATATCGTTATCACCCTTACGATTTTAAAACGTGTCTACCATGAAAAGGGTTTAACTCTACTCCAACCAATACATCGCAATGTCCGGTGACTAACTATGATACCATTTGTAATAGTCAAATTCCACCACTAGTAGATATTGTAAGCATGATGAAATACTTCTTAAACATAATTCGACGAGTTTAGATTCTTACCGCCACATCGTTTATTTCTAACAAAAATTTATGTTACTCTTAAAAGTTTAGGAGTAGTTTTTAAACGCGATAGTAAGGTAATTTTTTTTTTTCATTTTTTAAAAAGATTTAAATGGATTTTTTTTTTTTTTTATTTATTAATTTAGTGATTTAATTAGCAAAGAAACTTGATTGACGTGCACGTAGGGTAACAGCTAGCAAGAAATACAATGAATGAATAGGAATAGGTTACCCATCGATCCATCGGAGGGGCAAGTTTCTTTGCCTTTAAAGGCAGCCACGTTTTTATTTTTCATCAATAATTGGGAGCGTATACTGTATTTTATTTTCTACAACAAACGAAATTGTTTGTTTATTTAAAGTGAATGAATGACATTTGAATATTAAAAGCTTTCATTTAATTACAACGAAAAAAGTTGGGAGCTTTAAATCAACTTTAATGGCATTAAAAGGGTAATAGCAGGAATTGGATGGTGGCAGTTGCCTGTGTGTGGAGGTGGCCCCTCTGTTTTTTAAGCTCAGAAAAGGGCCAATAAAAGCATGATTGAAGGCTAATGGATATTTTTCTTCAATAATACTCTTTTCTGTATTATTTAGGTTGACCAAGATTGTCCCTTTTTTCCCACCTGCATATAAATGAAGGCTCTATAAGGCTCAGGAGGAGTAATGAATACACAGACAGGTCTCACGTGTGGTTCAACAAAAAGTTGGCACAAGCGGTATAGACAGACAAAGAACACTGCCCATGTCTTTCTTTAACGTTGGACTGTCGATTGATGGCGTCGGTGAGGGCTGTGGTGGAAGAGGAAGAAAAATAGTTTTCACTCTTTAAAAGTGAGAAGTAATGTGTCCATGTTGTCGGAGAATGTCGGAATTATTTAATGTCGAATTTTGAGTATGAGACGTTATATACGGTCTATTTCTTGGTGAGTTGGTGATGACCGGTCGTAAAGAATGGATGTTGCAACTGTTCACCCATGAACCCCAAATTGCTCAGCTTGTGAAATTGGTTTCGAGTGAGGCGCATTTTGATAATGACAACAAGATTAATAGTGTCACGATCGTACATTTTCAATATTGTGACGTTATGATTTTGATGCGCTCGTGATAAGTCTTAAGGGAATTCAAGTCACATATTCATTTTTCGCTTGTCTCTATGGCTTCCTCGAACCTTAAGCAAGATTTGTCTTGGCCAATTGAACACAACTCATGCGGAATCTAAGCTTGATCGACCACACACCCTCATGTGTGCGTGTTCAATTGTTTATGACTCTATCCAACTTGTCTTTGCAATATGTCAAGTCGTTCGGCTCGACCTTACTTCTACTTAAAGCCAAAGTCTTTTACATGCAACACGACATCTCATGTGATTATCTTGGTTCCCAAATAACAGAACCAACAAATCTTAATGTCATCTCAAGGCTTGGGATGTTATTAGGCATAGAAATTTTCATCTAGAATAGACCCCATGTGTTGTTCATATCACTGGAACATCTATTCATCCAAGTTCTATGGAGGCATTGGAGTCTCCCATGTCTATTCTTGAATAACCCATTTCAAAGGAACTCATCCCAAGACACTCGTCTTGTAATGTAGCTCGCTTAGGACACAGGGTAGCTCGCTGTGAAACGTGTACGTGCCACATGGTAGCTCGCTTAGGACACAAGACCATGAGTGGTGGCACGTTGACACTATGTCTTCCCCTAGGAGACATTTTGAGACATTCTTCATTTGACAGGTGTATATATGATTTAGATAAACGATCATATGATTTCGTGGAGCGTTCATTTGATATTCAATGGACACAAAATTTGGCGAGCCTTTGTATTTCATATGAATAGACTTACCTCCAGAGCTGCATGTCAAGACTCTTTCAAAACGTAACATTTGAGGTTAATGTCCTACGCTTAGTCAATGGTAATTAATATAATGTTTTTAATTAATATAATTAACGGTAATACAATGGAAATTACGAAGTTTGAGAAGTACGGTGTCTTACTGGACCAGTCCATAAGACCGCCAACTGCTTCCGTTATCTGTATAAAGCGAGGGAGCGGGACTGAAGCTCACGCGCGCCGTCTGTCTTTCGTTTATAGAAAAACCGTTGACAAGCCGCCAACTTCCGGTTGCACAACCACGCGCTTTCCTAGTTCGGTACCCCACACGATGGGTCGAAGGGCATGACGTGGCGGTCGTGACTGGGGAAGGGAAAGGGTCAATATTGGAAAACTACGCCTAACAAGAGGGCTAATAGTTCCATCGTGAAGGGCGCTGTATCTCCTCCGCGTTTCACCGTCGATTGAACCACCGGAGTTTGATTACGCCGCTGGGGGAGCTTCTTCTTCTTCATCTTCTTCATCTTTTTCATCCTCTTCTTGTAGATTATCTTCTAGAACCGCCTCGGTGACGCCGGATCGGGAGGCCTTGCTGCAATTGGAGCGAGGAAATGAGTGGATGGGATAGGGTTAGATCATCGAGTTCGAGATTTAGCCGCGGTAATTCTGCAATGACGGAGAGGACCTCCTCTTCTAACACGGTTCGACTTGGCCGAGTCCAGCCGCAGGCTCCTGGACATCGTACCATCTTCTGTAATGATCGCGACGCTAATCTCCTTGTCAAATTCAAGGTTTGATCATTTCTAAGTTCTGTATTGATTCGTTTTTTTTCTTTTGGCGTCGTCGGTCACGATGTAGATGCAATGCGGACCTTGATTTGATTTGTTACAACTCTTGGAACTTGGCATTGGCTCTCAAATGTTTCTCCATTTATCTTCAGCCAATGTGCTCGTTAGCATATCTTTAGCCAATGTTGTATAGTTCTAACTTCATCCCATGGATTTGAATGGCTGTCAATTTGATGTTATTTACAGGGGAATTCGGTCTCGACGACGAAGTACAACTTCTTCACCTTCTTTCCGAAAGGGTTGTTTGAACAGGTAACTAATTTTGAGCGTCCCAGGTCTATATACTGTTTGTTCAGTTTGTTACTTCGTTAGGCCTTTTCTTTTGGTTGGGAGGATGCGAGTGATTGAACTTAGAAAAAGTTTACACAAAAGTCATTATGGCTAGTCTCGTAGATGAAAAATGAACAAGTATTTTACTAATGCAAACTGGAGTGGAAGTGCTAATCATACTATTGGTCCAAGAACAAGATATATTGGAAACGATAAGTTATTATTTTGTTATTATTAGGAATTTCGGTTTTTGAAGTGAGTGGCGATAACATGCTCTGTACTGGATTTACGTGTAATTATCTTTAGGAATTGGAATATTTTAGGAAGATAGACTCATATGACGATGTTCAGTGGTACTTTTGTGTGATCAAATGATGGTTTGACCCAACTTCATTGTACTACTACTATCTATTACTTATTTTCGTTCTTGAGTTCATACTATTACTGTTTATATTTACGTTAACGTTGTATCTGCCATTATTATTATTTTTTTCTTTAAATGGGAAAGTTAAATTGTATATCCCAAAAGAACACAGGAAAAAGGAAGGGAAGATCAGTCTTCTCCAAACTTAGGCCAAAGGAATCACAATAATAATAAATAAAAAACAATTCCAATTGGCATTCTTAAAAAATGTTACAAAATTGCCTCATCGTTATTATTTTATTTTTGTTTTTGCCATTTACAACTTTAACCCAGCTACCATAATCACTTTTTTGAAACGTTACATTTCTGATTAGAGTTCTGTATTTTTTTTTTTTTTTTGACAGTTCAGGCGTGTGGCTAACCTATACTTTCTTACCATCTCAATCTTATCCACCACACCCATCAGGTTGGTTAATAGCTGGATAGGCATATTTACATTTGGTAGCATTCCCCAGTTGCACTTTACATTGTTTCTTAATAATTGTTTGATGTGTAGAAGATGCCATGTTGGTTGTTTTAGCTTATTCTTATTGTAGTTTAAAATTTGTAATTGCTAAGTGGTACACCATGCGCATTCATGAGATCTTGATTAGGTGATTCAGTATATTCTAGCATGTGGTAAAATTCATTAGAAAGTCTCAGACATTTCAAATTTGGCTGAGGAAAGAAGGGTCCTGTTAGCTGATTACTGAAAGCTAGGCGGTGATTTTTCATTCGAACAATAGAAAACTTCTTTTACTTAATGCCTTGCAGTCATCATCTAAAGATGAAAGCAAAGATCTTTTCCTTAAACACCTATAAATTTATTTTATGGAAAACGTGGTTGGGAAGAACAGGAGAAGTTTCCAATTTGTGGAGAGAAATTGTAACTTTCTTTGGGAGTTCACTGTTGCCGTTTTTTCCTCTTGAAGATGTCGCAATGGTCCAAAAAAAAAAAAATACTGAACCCTTTTGATTGTGCTGGTTGGAGAATTGTTTTGTAACTCCCTTGGTTTGTATGGGCTTCTAACCGTGTCCATGGTTATTTTTTCCAATGGAGTTTAGAAAAAAGAAGAAG